CCGCCCGCCCCCCCCAGCCACAGAGACTGGCAAAACGTTAGGAAAAACCACCTTCAGCACACGGTCAAGAAGACAGAAAAACCCACAACAACCATTAGATCCCGGCCGTGAAAGCCTTTGCGAATACAATGAGGACTTGAGTTGCGCAACTCACTGTCAAGTCGGAATTAAGTTGGACCGGCGACTTAACTCAGACTCAACTCGGGGTGTTTCAATGGTGGTGTTTGAATGACTCAGACTTGATTCACGACTCAGAACCCACCCACCTGTGGGGGAAAAAACTTGTTTTCAGTAGGGACTCTGACTTGGGACTTGGTGCCAAAGACTTGGACTTGAGACTTGAGACTCCGATCCAATGACTTGCCAACATCCCCATCTCCGGCTATAAAGACAAAGCGACAAATTAAATAACTAACAATTGGCTGGCCTTTTTAACGAGACCATAAATCTGCCGCCCGAGGTGTTTTCGCTCTTCTTACTTGTAGGTCTGGAGCCAGCAATTATACATTTTATGTTCTTGTGTTTTCAGAGGATGATGAATGGTTATCAGTTAGTTTAAAAAAAAAAAAGCAGGAGAAGCAAAACTCTCCATGATTGACGAATTAAAGAGAAACTAAAGCAGGGATCTTATTTATTTTATTTATTTTATTAATTTATATGCCACCCACACTACCCAAAGCTCTCTGGGTGGATTTTACCGTGATCCCATCTCAAATATTTGATTGTTTCATGTCCTCAAATGATCACTGGGAAGCTTTGTTTATCGGGGTGACATTATGTGAGAAATGACCATCCGCACGTTGGAGGTTATCTCACCATGCATTTGAAATGCAAACTGGATAGCAAATCTACAGCTGGTTGCAGTACGTTTTGAAGGAAAACTTAGCCTCTCCATTGACCACCTAGTTACATTTCCTAGAGCAGGAGGGGGCCAGTGGGGAAAGAAACCCACATAAAAGCTATCAGGAAACATTTCACAGCAGGCAAATTAATTGGTTTTTACTGTATTGGAATGGAGCGATTGTCAAATAAAACTTGCCATGACAGTTAATAGTGTCATTTAGAGGCATAACATTATTGGCTTATTTGTTATTGGATAAAAACAAAAGCAAACACTTTGTATTAGGAAGTTTTAATGTGTTTAAAATTCTCATTAGGGATTTATGGACATTCTTGCTTAGCAGAGCGCCTCATTAATTTGAGGCTAACCAGTTACTTCTGTGTTACAACTCCAGTGGTTTGCTTTGCATGTCTGTGCTGGTGGTTTTTGGGTGTTGTTGTTTTTTAAATCAACTTTTACTTAATTAGATCTTGTATTGGAACTTAGGCTGTACACTGCTAGAGATGTAAAATTTAATTAATGTGACTTATAAATCAAACAGAAGCGAGTTATTTTAGGATCTCGGTATCTCTTCTTCACATTTAGTAAGCAGTTAAGACATGTGATGTCAAAGCAGGCCAGAGCCCTCCGTGGTGAACACACTTAGCAATATCTCTTGGCATCAGAAGTTCAACGCGATTTAATTAGAAATGTAACTAAAGGGGAGACAGTAAAAATCCAGTTGAAATTCAGACTTCTTTGGCTTTTGAAGTTATGCATTACAAGCTGAAGGGAGTTCAATTTATTTTACAGCTCCAACCTTGTGCAATTAAAATAATCTCACCACAACTATCGTGGTCCAATAATGTATATATTTATAAAAGTAGATTTTAGATTTATCTGCCATCAAGTGGCTCCTGACTTGTAGCATCCCTGATAAGTTTTGAACATATGTGAGATGTTCACAGAGTGGTTTATCTGTTGAGTTTCCATGGCCAAAGAGGGATTTGAATTCAGATCTCTTGAGTCCTAGCTTAACATTCAATTCACTACATCACCAGATGTGACATGTTACTCGGGGGAAATCAGGTGATGTTCATCTACATTATATTGGTCTGAAGATTACATTCTTGGAGGGATTTGCCTTATCCTCACACTTTTGAGTAGGACACAACCAACATACACAACACAAAGCATCGTATTTTGATATGTTCTAGATTCTGGTTTCTGCTTGGATCAGCCTCTCGTGCAATGCGAATGATCAGTTGCTAAGCTTGACTTAATCATATAGGTATATCCCTTCCGTTTTCTGTTGTTATCTGTGAACTTGGTTTTAGATGGACTGAACGTTTTGTTTTCCCTCCTTCTAGGTTAACCTTTCCAATGATTCCAGTTGTGTGGAAGAAATATTGCGGGTAAGTCGAATCATTTTCATTTGGTGGTGCTGGAAAAGTTGAAGTAGATAACAGTGTTGGTCTTAGAGCCAGCTAGTCAATTAGTTATGTACTATTAAGTCAGAAGTGACTTATAGTGACCCTAATAAGTGAAATATTTAAGAAATTGCTTTCTCCGTTCCACTCTCCCTCTGCGTTTCCATGGCCAAATGGGGATTCAAACCCATCACTCTATCCACTACACCAGTGGTCCTCAACCTTGGGCCTCCAAGATGTTCTTGGACTTCAACTCCCAGAAATCCTGGCCAGCAGAGATGGTGGTGAAGGCTTCTGGGAGTTGTAGTCCAAGAACATCTGGAGGCCCAAGGTTGGGGACCACTGCACTACACCACACTGGGTATCTAGACCCAGCTAACCTGGGACTAAACCCACAAAATGTTATGGGTGACCTCAAGCCGGTCATACTCTCTCTACCTTGCAGTCCCTGCTGATCTGATAGTCATGTGAAAGGATGAGGAACTACACTGTTCTCCTCCATACTGGCTATAGTGACTGAGAAAGAATCTTCTGGCTTACTTACAGGGTTGCCCATTTTAAAACAAGAACTGCATAATATGCACAACTGTGTGATGTACATACATTGCACAAACCTAGGACTGATTGCTGCATCACTTAAGGGGCACTTTTCAGAACTATCAACCACTTCTTGTGCACTTCTTGTATGTATGGGTGTGCATGCGCACCTGTGTGCACATGGGTATGGCTTTGTTTGCTCTACTGGTAAGCAATTGGCGCACAATCTTAAGAATCTGCTCAAAGACTCTCGGTAGATATTCATTCCATAAACAACATTATAATTCTGGTTGGAAACATGCACTCCGTCCTATTGGATGGACACGGGGATAGTTGTGAGATTAATTAAAAGCTTCATAGTCCCGAGCAAAACAAAACCTTCCTGTAATAAGAACAAAATGACGAGAGTTAAATGAACAAAAGTCTGTAATTTACTCATTCCTCTCTCTTTCTGATGACTGCCTCCAATCTGATGACATTGGAGAATATGTAAATTGATCAGCAGGCGAAAATGCCCTTGACTGAGTAAATTATATGCAGTATTACCTTTCTCCTACCATTTAGAAAAGCGGTAATCGACTTAATATGGGACAGCCATAGCTGGGGTGACTTGTTCACAAAGCAAAATTAGCTTCCTAATAGGTTTATCTCTCCGTCCCCACCCTCCATGCGGCTTCATTAATTGTTTCCTCTTGCCATCTATTAATGGATGCTGATGGGAGATAACTGCATTTTGAGAAATACCGGTGCAGCATCGTCTAGCGTGGGTGCAGAAGTCTCTAGCAGCCCACAAGCAGTTTCAATATTTTCTTCTGATATCTCGAGGCTTTTGCTGGGAACAGGTTGAGGGGGATAGTGGCAGGGAAGAGGACATGATCTGAATTTCAAATGGATTGATGTACGTCATCGGCCAAGTGAACAGCAACCTGCCCGAACTAGTAAATCAAGCGAGTCCGTCAGATGCAGGAACACCTTGGAAGGATACGATGTCCAATATCAGTAATTTGCTGTCTAAAGGATGAGTAACAATGAGCATTTTTCAGGGAGAGAGTAAATAAATCAGTGTCTGGATCAGGAGCAGCTGGCCAAGAACCTCCTGGTCTTTTGCACCATGAGAGAGTTCCCGGGTGGTATCCTGCTTCTAGACCTGGATGAGCTATAAAGGCCTGGAGGTCAGGCGAGGCAAAATGCAGTGTTTACTACTCTTCACTCCTCACCCTGTAGCTGCTTAATGCAATCTTAAAAATAGCCTTTAAGTAAATCCTTGCTCCATTCATTCTTGTGCACAAGAATGGGAAAGGATCATCGTTTTTTTCCCCCCACACCTGTGTGAGATTATTAAATTTTCCCATTCATTCCTGACAAGAACGTCCCCATTTGTGAGATGCTGTGAGTAATGAAAGGGATGTGGTGGCGCTGAGGGTTAAACCACAGAAGCCTCTGTGCTGCAAGGTCAGAAGACCAGCCGTCGTAAGATCGAATCCATGCGACAGCGTGTTAGACAAATCAGGAGTGGAAACGCAGAGATCCAGGCTATCAAACTGCACCACTATGCTGTTTTAGCATGCCTGCCCGAGAAAGAAAGGAATAAGGAAATTATTCAACTAGATTTTATTATCATAGGGAAAATACTTTCAGAGAGTAAGTCAGAAAGAGAGAGACATTTGAGCCCGGAACTGAGATGCTATTCAGAGGTTACTGTTTTCGTATGGATGAAGAGGAAAATTTTGAGCAAACGTAAGCATAAGCAGTGG